ACAAAAAACCGCGGAGATTGAGACGAAAGCAGGACTACTATCAGAAGCATGCTTGCAGTGTACTTACTAATAAAAGAGCAATATCATGTAATTCTTGATAGATACATAATTAACCTCAGGCACCCCACAAACACACTCGAGAAAGAAGGTTGCGCACATTCAACTGACGTCTCGTCGACGGCGAAGAGCAGTTTTTTTTTCGAAGTGTGTCCAACAAACACATCACAAGAATTCCACGCACTCCTTTGAAAAAAAAAAAAAAAAATGACTGTAACCGCAAAATTGGTGTGGACGTGTTCCAACCATTTACGTTAAAAAAAAAAAAAAAAAAAACGCGCCCGCGTTTGCAACGCACGAAAGCAACAGAACACTTACAGCTGAAATTGAGCGTGTTTGTTAATAGATACAAAACTTGAAAGTATAAAACAGAGAGGACGAGGACGGGAACAGGACGTCTTTCATCCTGTTCCCGTCCTCGTCCTCTCTGTTTTATACTTTCAAGTTTTGTAACAGAACACTAAAGAGCGCAGTACGAAAATCGGACCTACGTGGCCCGCCTATTTCTATAATTAGGCAAACGGTGAAAACAACAGCCCCAGAGATCCTATCAGTGTGACAGAGAAAGTCACGTGACAAATTTTCGTCCAAACGTTTTTGTCCTACGCGTCCTACGTAGAGAGGTCACGCCGGGTCACGCATTTCGCTCCACCCTTTTGATTTGCTTAAAGCGGCTGTCGTGCTCGCTGACAGCCACACAAATACAGAAAAGCAGGTGGGAGGATTTGCAGAAGGTAAGGTCGAAGGGGCATCAACAACGCATAAACGGAAAGGCCGCTCCTGCCGGTGACCTTGTCGCCTTGCCCAGTCTGTCAGCGTTCGGCTTCCATTGTGGGCCTCAGAAAGATAATCTCCGTTCTTGAGAGCGAAATGGAAGGGGTGCTTATGTTTTGCGGGCTTGTCGCCATCCGATAGGCCTCAGTTATTTCTCTCCCGACTCGCTCGCAGTGGCCTCCCATGGCTGTCGTGCGGGCGAAATTAGAAGCGCAGCCGGGACATTAGGGAGTTTTAGCGAGTCGTTTTTCAAGCACACGGTTCCGAAATCGCGAACGGTACAGCTGGTCCGTTCCGTGAAACCGTACGTCAAATTTGACATACTTTAGCGAATCGTGAAAGTGGCGCGACCGTGTAAACGATGATGATGATCGCGCTTAACGGTGGCGCCATCTTCTAGTAAACATGTGAAACATTCTGCAACGTGTAAATCCGTGGCGACGGTGGCGGACACCGTGGTGGCGGCTTGTGTTTCCGGCGTAGGACTGATGAAAACAAGACGGCCGACGTAACATTTGCCGGTTGGAATTTCAAGAACTGCGAAGCTAGAAAGAGTAAAAAGTATCTGAACGACCGTAAAGGTATGCGGTGTGTCTCCGTCATCCTGAACTTGAACGATCGTTCACGTTGTGTGTCGTCGAACCAAATCATTTCGTTTGCTCGCAATCGCCACAGCAGCTAGGCTGCCCGCAGATTACAAAAAATTTACTAGCACGCGAAGTTTACAGCATTCACGATCGCTTGCTATTGTGAGCAGTCCTTGTAATGATCTGGTTCAACCTCTCAAATGAAGCAGACTGACAGGACGGCAAATTGCTTCCCACTGTCTTAAGCCTAACGCTCGGTTGGGTCGGCGAAGGCGCTCCCGAACCGACCGCCATCTTTTTTTTTACCCGAGTCGTGACCGGTGCTGGCTGCGTTGCGGTGACGACTCCACCGGCCGGAATGGGAGAAACGAACGAGAAGAGCCACCCGACTCCCCGAACTACTCGCGCGCGCATGCGCAGTTGTGTCGCAGATACGTTCGAGGGCGAACCGTTCGTGTGGAAATGACCTGCTAAAACTCCCTCTTTCCTCCCGTGAATGAGGATCGGGTGCTTAGAATCCGAAGCAGCTCTTTCGGCGTCCATTTGATGTTCTCGGAGTCGGTCGTTGAGGCATCGCCCCGTTTGCCCGATGTACCTGGCCCCGCAGGACAGGGGGATCGCGTACACTTCCTTCGCTTCCTTGCCCTCCCCTAAGATTTCCCTTTCCGGTACTCCCACGGAGCTGGCGGGCTTTGAGCTTGAAGCCGAAAATAAATTTTGTTAAAGTTGAAAGATTGTCCTGTCTGTATCGTCCCTTTTGTGTCTCCACTTTCTAAATGTTTAAAAAGTATCAACACGCTAAAATAGTAGCAGTCCCGAGATTTCATTTTCATTCCCCAAGTGTGATGCGGGAGCCGCGCCACGGAGCCCCGGTCGTTTCCGCTCTTTGTTATCGCTATCATTTGACAGTGCTCAATCACAATGCAAGAAACGCACAGAGCTACGCTCGCTTCTGCAATACGCCACCTAATAATGATTCTTGTGCAGACGTGCGCACATCAATCTCGTGCTGTGCTAGCTCAATGGCAACACTTTCTGTAAAGGCGGATTTACACCGAAGATGTAAGCAGTTGCGCGATCCGACTAAAACGCATCGCAAAAAAGAAAGTAAATAGCTGGTCAATCTGGCATGTGCGATGAGCGAGCCCAACGCCTTCGTTGGCGAGTCGCTTCTCAAAAACTCTCGCTCCCAACGCTGTTGATTGGCTCAACCTCTCCGCGACTAGATCGCATCGCAAAAAGTCGGGTCAGCAAAATAAGATAAAGTGGCCACCCAAATAAAACTTGATTTCTATTTAATTAAGATGAAAACCACCCGCGTACATCAAATACCTCATCAGCCGAACTCTAAGGCAGTATGCCTAGTTCTGGCACTTGTTTGGCAACTTTGGCCTGTAGCTGCCAGATGACAGCCGAACGATCGGGAAGCGAAGCCTAACTTTGGCACTCGTTTGGCGACTTTGGCCCAAACATGCCAGATGTCAACCGAACTACAAGGTAGTATAGCCTAACTCTGGCACATCTGTGGCGATTTTGGCCCGAAGGTGCCAGATAACAGCCGAACTATCAAAAAGTGAAGCCTAACTTTGGCATTAGTTTGGCGATTTTGGCCCAAAACTGCCACATATCTACCAAACTACAGGGCAGTAAGCCTAACTCTGGCATTTGTTAGGCGATTTAGGCCCAAAGATGACAGATGACAGCCGAACTACCAGGCAGTGAAGCATGAGTTTGGCATTTGTTTGGCGAATTAGAGCCAAAATACCCAGACTGTTGCCAAGGGAGGTGAGGTTTGGCTCTACTTTGGCTTCTTCGGGCTTTTCAATGCCCTAAACTTGCAGACAAAGCCATGTTTTGGCCCAAAACTCGGTGCTACCTGGGGAGCATCTTTTCTAACATGCATGTTATTACGAAAACTGGACGAAATCTCGTTAACTATGCGCCTGTTGGCAATACTGCAATCGGCGACTGGTTAATAATCTGGAGTAATGCTCCGCTTCCATAACGCGCTCGTTGCCTTCCGTCGAGCTCTGGCTGCTGCGCGTGCGACGAAGTGTTATCGAAGGCAGAAGCCTCGCTCAAAGGTTCTACCGGGCTCTTGATACGCTACCCGCCACAGTAGCGCATTTACTCGAGCAGTAGAAAAACTGCTTATGCACAAAGCATGCACGTCCAGTTTTCTCCACAGTACTCGGAAAGAGAAGCATCGCAATGCATCCTTTACAAAAGAGCGGGCCATCTATAGTCACTATACACCGCGCTGCAAATATCGGAGTCCGCTACAGTCTGGTGGTCACGTATACTCCGAGCATATATTGGACGCGAGGACTGCGTCAGCCGTCGGCGAAGACTCGAAAATTATATTTCACACTTTGTGCCCGGATCGATGGATGTTAATGCACTCTAAAAACTGTCAAGCTGAACCTCACGCTAACCGCGAGTTTCAAGCGTGGAACCGACGTCAATACGACGCGAATGACGTTTTAAGCACCACGTGATCCAGAATAAGCGTTTGTTTTTTGTGTCCAAGCGCTGGAGCAGTCCGAGGAATCCCGCTCGGCCTTTTTTTCGGACGTGATCAACAGCGTTAGCGTGACGACCGCAAAAAATACGCTAAGATTTTCGGAGAAACGCTTGCGCCTTCATTCATCGTCACGCTAATATACATCCGAATGGTTTGACCCTCCTGAACATGCACCTGCGCGTGCGTTTTTGTTGATGTGAGCTTTCTTTTTCTTGGGAGCACAGAGGGCGCATGCGTCCTCTTTTTTGGCGGGAAAAGCGAGAAAGCCGTTGCGCTGTTCCCGTTGCTCCCTGGCTCGCTCAGTCAGTTCCCGACACTCTTTGTTTGTGGCTGGGGCTAGCTGGGGCTGGTGGCTGGACCAGCTTGACTGACTGCGACTTGCGAGATTTAGCGGGGACGGCGCGTGAGTTCGGGCACAGTGTGCCATGTTTACCGCACTTGACGTGCGTGGAGTGCCGCGGGGTCGCTGCAAATATAGCGAGTGCGAGTCCCCCGAATTCATGCGGGAGACGGATCTGAATGCCAGCCAAGGAAAAGGCTTCCCATTTGGCTGGTGCCGTTGCTGCGGCCATTCGCCAGTTATTCATGAAAGACTGCAATATTTGGTTAAGAACCCTGTTTTTGTTTGTCCCCCATTACTGCTTAATCCGCTGTTTCTTTTTTTTTTTTTTTTTCTGGAAGCGCAAGTATCAAGTCGCACAATCTCCACGGTGTTGTTTTTCTCGAAGCGAGGTGCTTTTCAGCATAACTGCCACATCTAGGAAACAGCTTTTGCTGCTTGTGATTGAGCGCGTATTTCAAACAAATGTTCTTTATTTGGAAAGGTGAAGGAACGAACCGTGCATGTTGGGGCGTAGTTGAGGTAGTCGGGCGAGTTTGTTCTCGGCTGTAGACACCGCAGTACATAAGTGAGCTTGTTACTCTAACCCCCGAATTCATAGATGTGACTTGCTCTGAAGTCGAGCTTCAACTTGCTCAAGTCCGTCTTGCGACGAGCAAGCGCGCTTCATAAACGCACCTTAACTTGAACCGATCTTGAACGGAGCTTGAAGCGAACTTGAAGTGCCCAAATTTCAAGACTGGGTTGGACCTATCTTGAACGCGACTTCGTAGTCGTTTCAACATGGCGGCTTGGCGAAGCGACGTCGCCGAGAGGATCTCCGCCTTCGAATTCGCAACTCGCGCGTGCGATGTCGTCTTCGGGGACGCGTTCCCTTTGCCACGAGTCCCGCGACCATCAATTCGGGATAGGGAGAACCCAATGGAGCGCTACAACGACGGGCAGTTCCTGGCGCGGTACCGCTTTACGAAGGGAACCGTGCGAGAGCTGCTCGGGATGCTGCCGCTACAAACGAGCACCGACTGCAGAGGCCTTCCGCTGACCCCCATGCTGCAACTGCTGGTCACGCTGCGGTTTTATGGTGCCGGGACCTTCCAGGTTGTGACTGGGGACCTCGTGAACGTGTCCCAACCGACAGTGTGCCGCGCGGTCGGAGTAGTTACGCAGCTGATCGCGAGGCACTTGTTCCGGGACCTCGTTCACTTTCCCAGCGCCGCCCAATTCAACACGGTGATGCTCGATTTCTTCGCACTTGCGAAATTCCCCGGCGTCACCGGGTGCATCGACTGCACCCACGTGCGAATCAAGAGCCCCGGCGGCGACGACGCGGAGGTGTTCCGCAACCGCAAGGGAGTGTTCTCAATCAACGTCCAGGTAACGAGTGCAGAGTTCGCGGTTTACCGAATTTAGAGTTTAAAAAGCAACGCTTGCGCGATCGCGAGATGTTATTCATTGGAGTATGCGCTCATGTTCGACTGCATGAAATTTGGAAATTCTGCCCCAAGCATTGTAGTCAAAGCCCTCTCGTCTTTGCTTCGCTATATGCAGTGGTTGAACTGCTGCGCCAAACTGAGCCAGAATGAATAACCTGCTAGATGTTGCTCTAAAGCGTCTGGCACATGACATGGTTGGCGATGCCACTGAAAATTAAGAAAGTACAGATTTGTTTCCCCTTGATGCTATGTGCAAAAGTAGGGCTGCACGAATTCAATGTGCAAAAAGTAGGGCTGCACGAATATTCTAATTTTCTAATAGTAGTTCAAATAATACGTTATTTGATATTCGCTTCCAAATGAACTGCAATATTCATACTTTTCGAAGCTTACAATGTTCATATTGACATTGTCAGAACACATCACTTGAGCAGTTTTTGTAATGAAAATATTTGTCGAGTATTACGACAGCTTCATTCGATGGGACCATTGCCACTAATTTTTCTTACTCATGTCTCCATGTTTCATTTCAACGCAATCTACTTGCAGGCTGTCACCGGCCCCCAGCTGCAATTTTACGATGTGGTTGTGAGCTGGCTCGGGTCGGTACACGACAGCCGGATATTTGACAACTCCCGTGTGCGGGTGCTGTACGAGGAACGCCGGGTACCAGGGGTGCTGCTTGGGGACATGGGCTATGCCTGCTTCTTCTTCCTGATGACCCCCCTGGCAGATCCCGGTCCAGCTAACACACCACGAGGCAGGCAAGTAAATCCTACAAGTGCCTGAGCAAATGTAGGGCTATGTGTGGAGACAAGGAAAATACATAATGACAAATACACAGCGCAAAAGGACAAAGAGGGAAGAGACACACCGGATAGAACAGCGCTCTGTTCTATCCGGTGTGTCTCTTCCCTTTTTGTCCTTTTGCGCTGTGTATTTGTCATTATGTATAACCAGAATCAACTAGCCCAACTTTCTACTTTATTAAAGACAAGGAAAACATTATATACAAACGTGGAACAGTAGTAAGACTACTGAACTTGTGCGCTAGTTGCGATGGTTAAATAATGTATGAACAAAATAAGTAAGATACTGGGTGTGACAACGTTAGCCCCGAAAATATCTGCCCTTATTGAGGATTATAGTCACTGACACAATGAGAACTGCAGGGAGTCTTTCTGCCCTGCCTCCAGAGCACGCTCAATGCCTTCTCGCATGCTTTGGCTGCACATGCATGCACGAAGTGCACAAGATGACAATGTGTTACCGAATGTATGATGCTGATGCTGGAGGCGGGACAAGTGAAGCTTCTCCTGCTTGTCATTGTCTGCGGCTAGTGCGTTGTGCTGCAGCATTTTGAAATCGAGCTACTCGGGAGAAAGATATGAAAGGGATCTACAGGCAATATTATAGTTTAATTAGCCACTCATGATATTCCCTCACATGATCAGGTACCAGAAGGCCCACATCAAGACGAGAAACTCTGTCGAGAGGGCCTTTGGCATCTGGAAGCGGCGCTTCCCCTGCCTCGACATGAGGCTGCAGCACAAGCCACGTCGGGCCGTGCAGATCATCACAGCCTGCGCTGCACTCCACAACCTGGCCTGCCTGAGAAAGGACCCACAGCCTCCACCTCCCCCAGCTCCGCCAGTTGTGCCTAGGGCACGGAGACCCAGGAGGAGGGCCACACAGCCAGTCCACCTGCCACCCGCCGTGGACACCGTGGAGGACTCCCTCACGGGCATACAAAAACGGGAGCAAATCATCGAAAGAAGCTTCAAGTAGAAACTTCTTTCGAAGTGGAAGCTCCCTTCTGCAATGACTGATCGAGCTTTGCCTTAAAGGGGCGGTGGAACAATATTCAGTTATAATGTTTTTCACTTTACACAAGCTTACTGGCACTAGAGGAACCCTAGTATACTTAAATGCAATGCCGCTGACCAAGAAACATTTTTTGTTGCAGTGTAATTTCAGATAAAAGCAACCATTTTCTTTCAATCACTCCTAAACGCTCAGGGGTCGCATTGTCGGTGTAGTCCCCCCTCAGAGTGACAATATTTGAATGCGGCTCACAGATTGGACCTTATAGTATTGCGTGAGCACTCGATTTGGGCATGTGATAACAGCTTGGCAATCATTCAGGTAGTGGCTCGTGTCCAAGTGCTGCAACGATGACAATAGCCAAACCAACAATGTTTGCGATTCGGCGCGTGTCCTGTACTATGATTAACATTGGTGCCATATAATCGTCTCCAAATCACTTGGCCACTTTTTCTGGCTGCAAGTTAAAGGGGGAAACTCTGCCATTTATTTCATTTTTTTCTTCGGCGTTTTTTATTGCACGGGTTTAAAAACACAAGCATGTTTCATAGCTCATAAACTTTGGGGATTTGTTTTACGCAGTATCTGCACGAAGTACGAAAAATTGTTCCATCGCCCCTTTAAAGCTTTTGTCGTGAAAGTGGCTTTTTTTCATTGTACTGGAGTAAATAGCACGGCGTCCAATGAAACTGTCCTATAAGCATCGTCTGGAGGTATGTTCATATGTTAATAAGTTTTTTTTTTGTGTGTGTATTTCGCAAATGCCTTTACTGTTTTTTTCTATTCCTGTTTATTCACCAATAAAAATGTGAAAATATTGCCAAACCCTTTGCTGTAGTGACTGTGCAGTGGCTTTTTACTAGTCCAAATGATAATAGATGAAGAGCAGGAGCCATTATGTAATTATGCATTTTCTCAAAGCATGCCTAATGTGAAACAAGCTGAAATCGCACCCTATCCTTTTCTGGATATAGCCTCAGCTTTCAACTTCTGTGAAATAAATTAGATCCCTTCAAAAGTCGAGGCATTGGCACTTTTTTTTTATTTTTCGCCTCCCTGCTGAAGCTCCCTGAGCTTCCACTCCGCAATTTTTAGGTTCGTCTGCTCCACCTGGAGCCGCACGCGGTGCTCTGCCACCTTCATCTGGTGCTCTGCCACCTTCATCTGCTGCTCCTCTTCAAGGAGCTTGATTCGAATGGCAGACTCTGCCCTCAGCAGAGAACTTCGTACGTCGTTCTCTGCTGAGAGAGCCTGCTCTAGGAGCACCATTCTCCCTCTGGCCGGCCTGCCTTCATCCTGAGTCGCCTCCACCCTGTCGCTGCTGCAGCTTGAAGCAGCTGCAGGAGCAGGTACGGTCTGCTCGGTGGGGGGACCCGGGTCTGCTCCTGTAGCTGCTGTGACACTGGCACTTGCCTCTGGCTCGGCGACGTCCATAGAAGGGCTGCCAGGTAGGTAGTTGTCCCCTGTCACAAGATGGGTAAACCGATATCTGGATTACAAGCCGTTAGCACGAGGTACAATGTTTATAAATTGCACGGCATGAAATGCACTGCAGGTCACATTGCCCCTGGTTGTACCGTTACGACTGCTGCACTCGGGCGACGTCTAGATCTCCTCGGGCCTCTCGAAGGTTGTCAGAGAAGCTAGCTGTAGTCGCATTTCGCATTCCCGGAGACTTATCTTTTTTTGCTTTGCAGAGTTCGAAAACGAAATCCCCTCTAAGTGAGATAGCGGCCCCAGAATCCAAAAGTGCAGCGAAAGGAAAACCGAGCAAAGTGATCGTCATGCACGGTTCAATGATGATAGGCTCGGGCTGGATTCGACATTCCGATGGAATCTGTGCTGCGGCCTCACTGCCGCAGCACCGGGACTGTAACGGCTTTCAGCCAGTGGCTGTTTGGTTTCAACGTTAGCGGCCGTGGTAGTTTCCCTGGATGTTCTGGTTCCAGCCCTTTGCTACCGTCAGCTGTATCCAAATTAAACTGCGACAACTCGAACTGCAGGTCACGTTGCCCCTAGTTGTACCGTTACGACTGCTGCACTCGGGCGACGTCTTGATTTTCTCAAGCCTCTCGAAGGTCAGAGAAGCTAGCTGTAGTCGAATTTCGCATTCCCGGAGACTTATCTTTCTTGCTTTGCAGAGTTCGAAAACGAAATCCCCTCTAAGTGAGATAGCGGCCCCAGAATCCAAAAGTGCAGCAAAAGGAAAACTGAGCAAAGTGATCGTCATGCACGGTCCAATGATGATAGGCTCGGGCTGGATTCGACATTCCGATGGAATCTGTGCTGCGGCCTCACTGCCGCAGCACCGGGACTGTAACGGCTTTCAGCCAGTGGCTGTCTGGTTTCAGCGTTGGCGGCCGTGGTAGTTTCCCTGGTTGTTCTGGTTCCAGCCCCTTTCCCGCCGTCTCGTGCCACCTCTTGTTTGTAGTGTCCAGAAGTCTTGGACACTAGTTTCGTTGGTGGTCGGGCTGCTCGCACCTGTAGCAGCAGTCCGACAACAGTTGCCTGCTTAGGTCACCCACACCGAGGTGCCCGCCTCCAGTGATCTGGTAAAGAACCACTATGGGAAGGCCTCTACACTCTAAAAAAAAAGGGAATCAACGCTGACTCCCTTTAGGGGAGTCAAAATCTGTCCCTGTGGTGGCTCCTTTCAAAGACTCAAATGACTCTAGCGCCCGGTGGAGTCATCAGACGCCCTCTCCACTAGGGTCTGCTGACTCTCTCAGCTGGTGGTGTCACGTGACGCCTTCCCTCTCTGGAGTCAACTGATCCCCTCTCACAAGGAGTCAGTGGATTCTCTCAGTAGAATCAGGGCACTCCAGCATTGCAGGAGTCAGGCGACCCTTTCACTAGAATCACGAGACTCCAATATCCAAAGGAATCAGGCTACCCCCTACGGGAATCACTGGATTCTTTTTCTTCTGGAATCACGTGACTCTCTATCGGGAATTGCTAGATTCCGTTCCTGGCTTCCCACGATTCCCCCGAAGGGAATTACTTGAATCCTTTTTTCCTAGACTCACCTGACTCCTGCAATGGACTCTCTGGATTCTGTTTTCAATGGAATAATTTTCATGCCATAAAAAACCGTAGTGGAATGACGTGATTTCATTTAAAACCACGTGCCCCTCCAAACACACCACGCAGGAATATGGTGGATAGTGGTGGGGGAGCTTTTCATGGAATTACATGAGGTGCAATATCACAGTTTTATTTCATAGACAAAACATTTTTACAATTTCACTCCAACAGCATGCGGCTAACAACGAATAGCTGTTGCCGCCTTCATCACAGCCACGGATGGCAGAGACTGCTTCATGTTACACAGGTTTTCTAAAAGCAAAAACGTGTTTTTCACGTGCGGGCCATACTCCACATTAAACGCCCAATACGCGCAAAAGGCCAGCTCGATAGCCTCCGGGATATCCAGAGCTGGAAGCGTGAGGCTCTCAAACGTCATTCATGTTGCGTCAGAAGCTGTGGGATGATGCCCGCTGTAAGTCACGGCCGGGTAGACTGAGACTGACGTCTTTGTGGGATCCTGAAAGATAAAAATATCTAGTTGAGAGAGCGCTAAACATTGTTATTAATCTAATGGAGCCATATTACTAAACGTAGCGTTTAGGTCACGATCTGAGGTGGTGCCAGAAATGCCATGAGACGTAATAAGACGGTGGTTTGTATGTGTGACTTAAGATTCAGTCGCCAGTTTGGAAACTTGCCTCTTACTGCAGCCCTTAATACATCCGTATGAAAAAATTAACTTAAAATGAATGTTTCACACGTCGAAATGTATACATGAAAGGAACTATGTGTGACCTCTCTTTTAATGGAATTAATAGACGACTTTGGATTAGAGTTCTCAGGAACATTGGGGAGATAAAAATTCCCGCTAACTCTTGAAATTGTAAGAGTACATAAAAATCTAAATAAAGGTACAAAGCACAAGCAATTTTCAAAATTGTAAGAAATCAACATACATGAAAATACAAATAGACTTTTAGCCGTAAGTGCACTTTCAAATCAAGGCTTCTTTATCCTGCACCGGACATCGGTCGAAGTGATAAAACTTCCGCAAGAGGTTCATCCAGCGCGCTAGCAGCTGAATATGCCTCTATACTTCATTTCAGCTTCTGTGCGACCGAAGTCGACGGTTCCCACACTGCGCGAGCCACGCTGCGAGTCGGGAACGCACAGAGCATTGGGCTCGTGCCTAAGCTTTGACTTCAACCAAAACTTGATTACTTTATTTTTTTTTTTTTATGGAGCTGACGTTAACGATATTCCGGCATATTGTGCAAGATGCCGGGGTACCTTGCAAAATAATTGATAGAAAGGCTGTAAAATTTTCTCTCGAATATATTTTGGACAGTTTTCGCGAGCGTTTTCTATTTTCTTGAAATTCTGGCGAAGGTGCTTAACCCTTTGAATCAATGGCATTTGGTAGTGAGAAAAGACATACACAGAAGCTGCGCGAACACATGCGTCAAATCACCTTTTATAACTGGCACCTCGCGCTTGCACCGCTTACATTATTTTTATTAGCTGTCCCGGTGTAAATTGATTTGCGACAAACAGGCGGATGGTAGCGCGTCGCGGCTCAGGGCACGTGGAGCGTAAGCTCGCGGCTCGGAATACTGGGTTCAGCCCCAGCCCCCTGGCCTTTTTTATCTGGATGAGCAATGTACCGTCACAGGTTTGAATAATTAGTAATCTCTACACCGTGTTACTTCTAAGAAGCCTAACAGTTGTGCTGCACTGACTCAATTTCTCGTCTACTGCGTGAACCACTGTCGCTATAACGTAGACAGACTTCACTATGTATAAACACTCTGTACAAAATAGCTTTGCTTTGCTTTGATGTTGAACAATAGAATGCGACAATGAACTGCAAGTTACCTTGGGAGGGATTTTTTTTTTTTGCAAGTTTTAAATATAGCATCGAATAAGAAAATTATAACATATTGCCACTTACATTGTATATGTGCACAGGTCGTAGTACAGCCACTCGATGATACGATGCCGAAGTGGATCAAGAATGTTGCCCTTGGTCAGGGTAACCAGCCTAGCTCGAATGCCAAGAGGCACCTCCGGTAGCCTGTACGCCTTCGGGTCCCTACTGGAGCAGAGCAGAGCCCTACGTTGCCACTGGGGAAATTATCGGTGTAATTGCTGTGGTCACCGCCGTCAGGACACCTGACGACGGTGCTACTGGCTCCACGACAGCAGTGCAGGTCCTAGAATAAAACAGAAATTTCCCTTTTTGTTGAAACATGTTGAGTTTCCAAATAAACTGAGGGCAACGCGTGATGCAGTGTCCCATTCTCATTTGTTGCCGCCAAATTGGTAAATTTTAGAGCAGATGAGAGCTCAAAAATGAAAATATATTAGACTCAACCATGCCTCTATTGAATGGTTTACATATTTTACTCTTCAGGATTAGCAGCCCGGGAAAACCGGAGCACTAAATTTCTTTGCAGTCGGTTTTGCTGTAATTTACAGGCAAACGTTATAAACAGCTCGTCGCCTAGGCAAACATTTCTGAACATAAATTTAAACAAATTTTTGTGGCTAAAATGCGGCATGGGAAGGAAAATATTTATATCTAAACTTTGCACCATTAATATTATTATAATCGGGTTATATTGCTGTTCTCACAGCAAAGATCTCCGACGCCAAATGTTTTGGCGATACGAGTTGAGGGTCTAGTAACTTCAGAAGTGCTTTCGTATCAAGTTGAAACAACCAGTCAAAACCGTTTTTTGATCAAATTTCCGTTTTAAATCTCGGGATGTGCATTAAAAAGAATAAAAACGCCTCGATCTTTCTAAAGGTAGTGCTGCTTAGTTTTACACTTATATGGAGGAAATGCTGAGGGATTGCAGAATATAAACTAACATCAAACACTTAATTACGCGGAATATTAAAGGAAAAATGAAATTCCTACCTATAACTGTAATATTTGATTAAAAAACATTAATATAAGTTTTAAGTACACTTAGGTGCTCTCAATGTATATCAGCAGTGCTAAATTCCGTCAACACTTATATCAGGCAGCTTCAGCACATAAATTAGTATCTTGAGTGAACTAGCCAAGAAACCAAATTGTCTACATGAAACAACAACACACTTACTTGTCATTGAAATTCCCCGCTTGAGTCACCATACATTGAGGATAAATGATCTTGGATTTATCATCCAGAATCCTGTTGTCCTCAATGTCCAAATACTCGTCGAAGTCTTTGTCCTTAATCTGAAATGACAAGGGAATTGAATATTGTAAAATAAAAGCTTGAAATGTACCCGGAGTCTGTGCGCAACGGTACATCGCGTTTGCTGAAAGGTCAAAGAAAGGCTGCATGTTTGAAAATGAATTCAATTATTTACAACTTCGACAGTAAACTAGAAATATTGGAGCACCTGTGGGGATACTCAAACGACGCAACTAATGTGTCCTATT